ATCGAGTAATAATTAATAGGTATACGGTCAAACATATTTTTTGATGAACCACCACCCGTGGAGCAAATAACATTTTAAATTGAACGAGCACCACGCACGTACTAATATAATTTTAAAACTAGTCAGTCCATAGCGTTTATCTTTCATAACGTTTTACATGAAACTATGAAAGTATACCTACGGAACAAAATAAAAAAAACTTTTTTAACTTTTTAAAAAAAAAAGATTAATCCAGTTTTTCATTTTACAGCTGCGATGACCAACTTTTTTTTTACCGAAGACCATAAAAAAATTATCGACGGGCCAAAAATTTAAACTTTTTCTTTGAATTAAATGTTACGTTTTATTTTAGACACATCTTAATAGAGAAGAAATATAGGAAATATTTATGTATATTAAATTTTACAAACGTTACACGTTAAAATATTTATTTTAATTTTTTAATTTTTCTTACTTTGGAGGACCGGTTAATAAATGATTTCGGGCCGTACTTAAATATCACTGTTTTATAGTATAATATCAGCTCTATAGTAACTACTTACTCAAGCCAAAATTGAAGGGGCCATAGCCCATGGAATACTAAACTTGAGATATTTTTAGGAACTTCAAATGTTACACCATATATTAATAAATAATTAAAATATTTTAATTATTACTTATTATATATTGTGCGTATAAAATAAAATAGTAAAAACTTCAATCCTCATTAGTCATTAGTCATTACAATTAAAAATATTTATAAATTGAAAATAAAACATTTTATACTACTTAATTTCCTTGGAATTTAATATGATTTTTTATGAAAACAAAAATAAAATCATAAAAAATTATTTTTTATTTCATTTTGAGACTTCTAAAAAATTTTACTTTGGGGTCTAAAAAAATAAAAATCTTATTTAGACTTACCACTGCATAGTTCTAAAACTTCTAATAAGTAATCTAAATCCAAAACTATTTTATAAAGTGTGCCAATAATTTATTTCATCACGTAAACGCGTAAGTAAATATGTAGCATACAAGCATACTTAGATATATATCGATTAAGTAGTTAGAGGCGAATTTAAGGTACTGCGAATTATGCAGTCGCATAGAGCAAAAATTTTTTGATACACAGATAAATTGTATTTAATATTTATTTTGTTTTGTTTTTACATGAAAATACTTAAATTTTTTGCTTGAATTTTTCAATTTCAAATTTTCAAAAGGTGTATTTGGATTTTTTTTTTGTTTATTTATATTTAGCAAAGTAATATTTACACTTAAATCAAAACGTTTTTATTAAACTTCAGTTAAACGAAAAAATAATTGCATAATATATGGAAAATGTGATTATGTTAGGAAATTTTGTCCTACAGAAGTGAATTTTTTTAAGATAAAACAGCAAATTTTTTAATCCACTCCTGGGTAAAGTGTTAAAATAAATAGATTTTTAGTCTCATAGATCGATGTTGGAAAATTTAATACTTTAATTCGATACCGTTTTTGTACCTATGTAGCTAATATTTTGTTCGTAATTTATAAAATCTCAATAAATTATATATAATACATAATTATTTATTATGTAAGAGATCACCATATAATATTTACGTCAAAATAGTATGTAACCTATTTATCTTTGAACTAAAATTGTATAGACGTATATACACTATAAACCCAATAAACTTTATTAGTATTAAAGGATACGTGAAAGTCAACAATCGTTTCGATAGAAAAAAATGTAAAGAATTTAGACGTCACCATTCTCGGTGCAACACGATTGCGCCCTTTTTACCTTATCATATTTGAGAAAATACAACACGATTACACGCCTTTTACCTAATTATCTTTAAATTCTTACCTCTATTGAAGATTCAGCTTCAGTTGCTCATAAAATCAGTGGAAAAACGGCATCAAATATTTTATAACTATTGAATCAATTAATTCAAAAATATCAGTAGGGCTATTTTAAATTAAATAAGCAAAAGCATCTAAGTGAAAACAATTGTATTGTATTTTTTTCAAATATAAAAAGGTAAAAAGTGCGCAATCGTGTTACGCCACACCATTTTACATACTTACCTATCAATTTGATTCAAGGAAGTACTTCCATAATACTTAATAAAAAAAATACCTACCCTGGTGCGTTCAAATTTCCAAGTTTAATAAAGCATATTTTGTTGAGGTACTTATGTAATTCAATAGGTTTACTGTAAACGCGTGCGCATAGATATTGTTATTATTATTGAAATATATAGCTACCTACAAATGAATTTATTACTTATGACTTGTTATCCGTATGAATTTCGTTCAGTTTTTTTCGCGGCATATTTTTTTGAAAAACATTTTTTTTTTTTTCATTTTTTATTACGAGGTTGGTGTTCATAATATCAACTGAGTAAGCACGGTGCATGCACGACTTTTTCTGAAAATATAATTATATTAGAGCAATTATTTGTTACAAGCCTTGACCGATTTATTGATTAAATCAATGTATTATGTGTTTATATTATATATATACCAATAATATTAGATTATTAGATATATATCTAATTTAAATATTTCTATTTGATATTTTGATTCATAAATTATATTGTAACTTTCCAGACTAGTACACATTTATGCGTCAGGGACGTGATCGCGGGTGAACAATTCACTGTTTAAAGTCAAGTTCATTCAAATAGATATGACGTATATTATGTACCTACCTATGTCGCTTATTAGGTCAATATTTCAAAAACTAAATTATATTGTAACTATAAATTGAGAAAAATATAATTAATTATGAAAAAGTCACTTAAATTTCATAGTCAATATTTATAATAAAATATAAATTTTATTTATTTATTATAGCGGGTGGTAATTATTTTAATAAAAATTAATTTATAATTATATTATAGTGTAAAATTGCTACGACTAAAAACGACTAATTTTTACATCAGTATTATAACTTATAAGACACAAAAATGTATTGATGGTATTACTAAAACTAAAATTATATTTTAAAATAGAGATGTTCAAAAATATTTTGTAACTTTGTAAGGGAAATCGAGCTTTTATTATTACCAAATTTATACGAAAGTAGATATAATGCATTTGTATATACGTATTATTAACTCTTAAGGAAAATACAATGATTAAATTTTTATTGGTTTTGTTCAAGATCGTGCAAGACTCAATTAATCGAAATGTTGCATTTTTAGGTCAAGCAACAAGTATGGACCCAAGGGGAGGCAAGAGGCCATGCCCCCTCCCCGTAGACTCTATTTTTTTATAAAATGTTTTATATTTCACGTACAATTAATTTAACATAAGAATTATCTCTTTTTATTTTATTCATTTTATTGTACCAATAAACCGGAATTTAAATAATAATATTAACCTATTAGCTTACATAGTTTTTACACTATTTTTATTAGACTTAGCTAAAATTGTATTCAAGATCCCCCCCCCTGTAAATATGTTTTGGATCCGCGCCTGTCAAACAGCCACCCTTTAACAATAATAATTAACATACTCTTGGAAACAGCATCGAGCAAATTTTCAATGGATCATTTTTAATTTTTTCTTCAGTTCCAATTCTTTTTGATTTGGTTTAATAATATTGTTATGGACGTATTTCATGTGCTGTGCTTATGAGTCAGCATACATGTCAAAATCATTCTGGTGTTACTTATTAACTGAAGAACATCTTTCATCCTTTCATCAGTAATCATATTATTATTTACACACACATCAATGTTATATTTAAAACCATCAAGTTGATGTATCCAAATCAAATAACAGCACATTAGTTTGTCACAGTGTTTGAAAATTAATTTAAACATATAGTCTAAAAGCTGATAATAATTCATTTACACGGTATCTGAACAAGGCCAATAAATGGTCTAGATATTACTATTCGTGAAAAATGTTATCAAGGTCATACCAGAGGAAATCTATAAATAAACAAAATACAAAGTGTAATAAGTATACAATATTTTATATGAAATAAGACAAATAAAAAGGACAAGCACATATTATCAAATAAAATATAGACCACAAATTTGATAAATACAACATAAAAATTTATCATTCAAAATAAACTGCCGAGATTAAATAATACATTGGTATAAGGATAAATAAAATATTTAATGTACAACATCCAATTATTATGTATATAAATGCAAATATTTTATCTACTAGGTAGATACAAAAGTGAAAAATTTAATTTAAAGCCAAATTACTCAATTATAATCTTACTTTTCTTCATTCAAACAATACTGTGGTTAACACAAACATTTGAAGAAAAAAATTTACACAAAAGAATTATCACACAACCTTAAAGAAATCAACTATAAAAAAAAAAAAAAAAAACTGAAAATATTACAACTATTAAACTTATTCTATGTAAAACTATGTCTTAATTTGTTGAGTAAAATATTTAGGAAGACAAACATTTACTGTTCTTTTATGGATCCGTTTAAAATTTGGCACAAACAAAAATAATTGTGATGTCCGTTATATTTTTTATTATAAGAGTAAAAAAAAAATAATGTTTTACAAATTATAAACTATAGATTTTGATTGATTGATATTTATAAAAGAAAAAAAAATGTTAAATATGGCTTATGTTTAATAACCCCTATTCGTTAATAAAAGCAATTGCATAAATTAAGAATTTGACACGGAATGTAACAATATTATATATTTTTTATGAATAAAATATTATTATTATAGCTTTAAAATAATCGAGGTTTTTTTTATGCATACATTAAATTTTATGTTATTGGAATGTTGAAATGTAATTTTTATTCCAAAAATCTACAGTTTATTTTATCATTATTATTAATTAATCACATTTATTATTCTCACACAAGATAGTAAATATAAATTTATAAGTCAGTATCTATTGATAAAATAGATAAATGAATAAGTGTATTCGTCTAAAAAATATAAGTAAAATAATTTATGATAATATATAATATGATTATTTCATAAAGGGCAAATAATATTAGTTAACCATATTCATCTTAAGAGAATATTTATTTCTTTTTACTCTTGCCTAAAGTGAGAGTATGATGTCCCATGCTAGAGTACTGCTGCTTTCTTTTGCTGAACTCCATAAGATCTTCTTCATATTTTCTTCTTTGTTCTTCCAATCTTTTCTTTTGTTCATCTTGGTCACGTTTAAGTTTATCAAATTTGGCATGTAACTGCAATTCATACATTTATATTAATTAATTTTAAAATATTTGAACAGAAATACATTTTTACATATTTTATAATTTATAAAATAACATATGTGCAGTATGATAAACATTTTCTTCAAACAATGGATAATTGCGAGTTAAAAAATCAAAATGTTTATGATTTTTATTTATAAAATATTTTTTTCATAACTCATAAAATAATCATTAAAAAATTAATAGATAATACAATGTATTTTTTTTTTAAACAAAGAAAATGAAATATTGATCAGAGATAAATAATGCATACAATAGTACATGTTAGATATAATTCAAGCCGAGAGATCCTTTTAAAAATCAAGCAATACTAATAATTATTAAGAGTATAAAGGAAGAACAATCACAAGGTAATTTTTATTTAATGTTTTTTTAATATTGTAAGTTATGAAATTATGTGCATTGTATAATAGTATATTTCAACAATATTTGATTATATAATGATAAATGATGTTAAAAGAAAATTCCCAGTAAAACATTAATCAAAAATTGATATGATGTAATAAACTTTGACACTAAAAAAGTATTAGCTCTAACAACCTTAAAATCAAAAATCTAATATTCTGGTTTATAGATTAAACTGCAACTTTAAAATGATTTTTAAGACTTCATGTTACTATATTATTTCCAAGTAAGTCAATAAACAAAACAATTGAGGAAACCTAATCTATTTTAAATACATGTTAAACACTATTCTTTTGATTTAAATTTTAAATAGTTTTAATTGAAGAATCCAATAAACCATGTTACTTATAATTTAAATTAGTAAGTTCATCTAAACAATATTTAATAAATTCTAAATCTAACAAAAAATAATTACACAGATGTGAGTGTAGGCCAGAAAATCAACAAAGTTTCATTTGGCAAATATAAAGTGTAGAATGTATATATTCTAGTGTAAATGTTGTGTAGCACCATATCTTTATTCTGTTACGAAATAGAAAATCTCAAATGGAGTGCTTTAACTTCCAAGAATAGCTATAACTAGATGATTAAATTTAAATTAACTAATAATAAACATAAAAACAAACTAATTAATTGATCAAACGAAACTACCTATCACCTTCAATTTCATACTATCCAATTTATCAAGACAACCACATACAATGTCAATGCCTTATTTATTGGTCTATATTTAAATGCATAGAATAATTTAAATCATAAATTATTTCTAATTTATGCTTATTTAGTTTTATGAATATATTCTAAAAATAGATTGTGTTGTATAACAAATAATTAAACCACATTTAGATTAAGAATTCTATGAAATAATAAAATGTATATCTTTTGACTGAAAAAGAGATTGGTTAGCTACTAACATAAATGTTGTTATACTAATTACAAAACTATAGAAGATAACTAGTATTATTTGAATCACAAAATAAACATACTTTTAACACACATTACACAGCATCTATTAGAAACAATTAAATGTAATGTTAAACAGGTTAATCTAACTTAACAGCATACTTTTAAAATACTGTTAAACAAAAAAAAAAAATATTAATATACATACATTAGGGTCAGAAATTTGAATTGATATTCTCACCAATATGAATATATATATATATTTAAAATTATTGACTAGTACTACTAGAATAAGATTGCCATGTGACAGTGCCCCAAGAGAGTTCTCAAGATGTAAACATTTTCTAAATTAAAGTCTATTGTTTCAAAAATGTTAATTTTGATTAAAAGCATTACAAAAAATTTATGAATATAAAATCTCATAAATATAATTAATGATCAGTAGAAACATGTTTCTAAACTATTTAATTCGCATATCATTTATGTAATTTTACTCAATGATACATTAATTTTGTTTTATTTTTAATGTCTAATTTCTTACGGTGGTTTATTATTTGTACTACTATATAAACATTCTAAATTTTATTACTTGTAAAGCGATGGAATGTTAAAAAGGTTAGATAGAAGTTCTAAATCTAATATAATTTGTATAATTTGTTATTAATATTATTATTATTTTTTAAATATGTCCTAGTTTTTTGAGTAATACTAATTTGGTAAACCTATACTAGAATAGTTCAACAATAAAAAGGAAGCACAGAATAAATTGAATTTTGAATATTGTATAATATTTTTCAATTAACTGATACATTGTATGTTTATTGTATATTTACATGAGATATAATTTAGTTAAAAAAGTAATATTTTATCAAATTGATATCAGTTGAATTATAATATAAAGAAGCCAATGCTGAATATTACATGAAATCTTGTGTGACTATAATGACACGAAAAAAATGTGGCCCCATATCATAATATATAATATACCTATGATATACATTCTTAAGAATACATAATAAATAAAGTTACTTCTTTCTCAGCTTCTTTTAATTCTGCTTCTTTTTCTTTTACTCTAACAACAAACATTTGTCTCATTTCATCTTCACGGTTCTGTAATTCTTGTAAATGATGACTACGTTTTGCTTCAAAAGATTCCTGGAAGCTTAGTGGTTTATTTTCATTATCCACATCACTAAAGCCCATCTACAAAAAAAGTGATAATATAGTTTACAGGATGCATTAATTTATATAATAAATTTAAAATTTTACTTGTTCTAAGCGCATTTTTCGGTACAACTCGTAGTGTTTATCGTGAGTTTTTTCTCGCAAATCTTCCATGTTAGTTCTAATTAACATCTCTCTTAACTTAACAAAATCACAATGTGATTCATTTTCAACTGACAACATAATTTAAATTAATTAATATAATCTTGACGTATAAATACAAATAATTTTAAAATTAAACTTTTTACAAACCTTGAACTGTTCCCCATGGATACTGACGAGCGCGCACCATTTTATTTGCAACCTTGGCAAAATCTGTGCTTCCAACAACTGCAAATGGCACATGAGAATTCATATTAGAGTTAACATCAGCTATAGTCTCATCTTCAGTTGGACATTCATAGATTTCTACCCCATTTGATCGCAATTCGGTGATTATTTTGGTCTAAATTATGTAAATATAGAATAACAAATTATTGTTAAAAAATAAAGTATGGGTTCAATATGCTATTTACTGTATGTTTCATAGATTAGTCATATATATATACCAAAATAAAGATACCTTTTAATATTTTTTAAATCAAATTGCATTTTACCTTTATGTTCTGTAAAATATACACTAAAAAATTTTTACTACAAAAGTAAAATTAGCTTGTATGTTTGATCTTATAAATCAAATAGAGTTATTGCACAAGTTAATTACTTTTAATTTGTAATTTTTGTCATAATACTAAGTTTTGATTGTGAATTATTTGTATTAAAATATCATTAAAAATGAAAGAGCGTGTACTTATTTTTAAAAAGAATGATTTATAATTTAGAAGCAGATTTCAATGCTACATACCAAGTATGTACTAAAATTAAAGATGAAAATATGATAGTTATGCAGATCAATTATAACATTAATAAAGAAATTAATAATACTATTTAAAATAAATAATAAATGATGTATTTATTAATAAGTAATTAATATTTTCTAGTACCTAGATACTTTTATACATTTACTATATTATGAGTTTATTTAGTTAATTCAAATATATAATTCATCAATTATAATTAAATACTATTTGGTATTCATGTTGAACATTTAAGAAGATTGTGTACAAATTTTAAATTATAATGGTAATTCATTATACTTTACCTAAAAATAATTGTATAAATTGATAACTATAGAAAATAAATAATTTTTACTATCTTATTTAAATTTTAAAGAATAACATTTTTTTAAATTATTATAATACAAAATATAAGGAAAACTGCTTTTGCATAACTTTTCTTAATATATAACTTACCTTTTAGATATTTAAAATAATATATTCTACATTGAATTTATATGTTTTAATTTTAATAAATTTGGTACTCCATTGTTCAAATTTTATTTTATGATTAATTTTATTATCTAATCGAATCTTTTTGTATTTTAAGATTCATAAAATAATAATTAAGATGAATAATCAGCTGATTGTCTTAATTTTTCTTAAGAATGTGAACTTAATTAGTTCCTGTACATAAAAAAAAAATGAATGTAAGTGACTCATTTTTGGCACATTGAGACAAACGTAGACAAAATTAATTTTTATGCGAACTTTCAAAACATTGATTAAATTAAAATTAAAAGTCAACAAAAATAACAAAGATTAAGGTTAGGTAAAGAAATATTTTGTGAACAATATGTGATATCATAAAAAAAATAGAAATACTAAATTATTAAGATAATATTAATTCTCATTATTAAATTTCATAATATTAAATCAACATAAAATTACCCAAGAAAAGTTAACTACAGTAAATAGCAATGAACATATTTTAATAAAAATAGTTTACCTTAAACTTTTGTAGTTCAGACTTAGAAATAGTATCTGCTTTGGCAATTATTGGAATCACATTTACCTTAGTATCAAGTTTTTTCATACATACTAAATCAATCGATTTTAATCTGTAAAAACAAAATGATAACAATGAAAATTAAATTGTTTATAAGACAGATTAATACCAAGTGATCTATCTATTGTATTACTTTTAATCACTAACATTTTCAGAATAGAATGAAATTAAAAATATCAATAAAAATGTAAATTTAATCATAATACCCAATAAAATATTATATAATTCTTTTTCTGAGAGAATGTGATTGCACAAAAAATAAAATGAAATACACTCAATCATAAATACCCAAATCCCACTCCTCATATGTAGGAAATAACCACATTTTATTGATGAATAGAGTGTAGATAATAGGTAATTATAAGTTAAATATATTGATACGATAAACTTAAAATAGTATAAATCACTTAGTTAAAACAAAATACATTTTAAATAAAGATTATTACATACCCATGCCCAGTAGGACAGATGAAATACAAACAAGTATGAACTCTAGTGTCATGATATGTCGACAACAAACGCTTTACTTTCAGTTCCTCTTGTAAATAATATTCAAATTGGGTATCAATATAGTCTACAATAGATTTGAAACTGTCTTCTTTGTTTATTTGATCACCATAACCAACTGTCTCGACAAGCGTTAACTAAATAAATAGAATACAATTAATTAACTATTAGTAATAAATAATATGATTATTTTATTATTTTTCTATTTTATATATTTAACATTAGTATTATACTTATTAACATTAGATCATTTGCTTGATTACTGTTTATTGAAATTACTAAATTAACATTAATATACTTTCTTTTCATTGCTATAAATTGAAAACCTTAAATAATTCATTAAAATTCAATAATTGTTATGATTTTATAAGCTAGCAATATTTATTCCTCAGAATAAAGTCAACTTTAAACAACTAGTTTGACCATTTCTACGCCAAATTGTTGTACTTCTATATCATGCTAACTAGACATTTATAAACTTAGTATGCTATCTAAATTTTTGTTTATACCAATAACTCTATTTAGTTTGGTAAACATCTAGATTTTAAATATAGACTAAGACAATATAAGATACATTTAAACCAAATATGCTATTATACTACTAAAACAAAACTAAAATTGAAGCTTATATAATTTTTTTTTTTTATTATATAACAAAACTATTTTACTGAATAACCAATAATCAACTACGTCATGAAGTGCCAAATAAGTATAATTGGTTTGTAAATAATAGTTTTCTAAATATATACCTTAAGTTGAACATTACTCTCTTGCAATTCATAAGTGTGAGCCTTAAGTTTCACATTTGGCAAATTGTGTGTGGACGGTGTGGATTCGAAATTGGTATTAAATAGAGAATCCATAAGTGTCGATTTTCCCAGACCAGTTTCACCTGAAAACATAACAAAAAAACTGTGTCAGATCTTAAGTCAAGCTGTAAGCTTGTCTTCTGAAAGTGGATTAATTGAACTCACCAATGCACAATATGTTAAACACGAAGCCATTTTGTGCAGACTTGTGAGTTAGTTGATCGGGCATACTGTCAAAGCCTACATGTCCATTTAGGTTGAGGGTGCGCATTGTCGACTTGCTGGTCTCTTCCGCCTATAATACAAATCTTAAATTAACGTACACTGTATGGACAACTCTAAACAATTTCACAATACATACCTTCGGTCTGTTCATCACTGCGGCCATGATTCCAAAGAAACTACGAGTATCCGCTCAAAACGATAAACGTCGGTCGTCACAGCGACGCGATTCTTGTGACTTGTTGAACAGTTTAAATGACAGACGACAACGCCTATTAATTAAATGTATAATAATTCGTATTAAGCAATGTTTACTGTTTAAAATGTTATTTTTACTTCTTTTTTTTTTTTTTTTTATCGTCGAATTCCGTCTTGATAGCGTTTGCGATGACTCATTCTCATTGGATGACTATGTCGAACGTCGAACGCCGTTTTTTTATCAAATGTACACTCTTGCGTCGCCACACTGCCTGACCGGCAGATGGCGCACCAATGTTGTTACCATTCATTATTTACACAATTAATTTTCTCGTCTCAATACAGTATACACAGTAATGTTGTTATTCTTATTGTATTACGCGTTATTGACTATTGTAGTATTGTACATAATTATAAGTTGTAAAAAATGCTGACATTACTAACCACTGCAATAATAATCAATTGTCCGTGCTCCAGAGATCATCAATCAACTACGCGTTCGGAGGCATTTATTAATAAAATAAAAATTACGACCACGCTCATCGCGATAGGTAGGTTTTACTCGTGTTATAATATCCGCGTTGATCGTAGCTTATTACGATCCGGTGTACGTTCAACATTTCGTGGTTCAGATTTCAGGGGAGTCGGTAAAAAAATCCACGGGGAAAAAAAAGTCCGACGAGAAAATTTTTATACCGAAAAAAAGTCCGATTTGATTCTTTTAGGAAAAAAAATCTCTTGATTTATTAATAAATATAATTATAATTTAAAATTGATAATAATATTAAAAAAATAATTTATTATTAATAATATAAAATATAATTGATATAAGAATAATGTAATATATTAATTTGAAAATATTTAAAAAAAAAAAAGTCCGGAAAAACAGTTGATTTATAATAATTTTCACGTCGGATTTTTTTTCCGGGATTCAGATTTCAGATATTGTAACATTAAAAAGGTTTGTTTTTCTCGTTGTTCCGAAACGACTATTTTGTTTTCAAAAATATGGACTGGATTTTACAATAGACAATAACACTAAATCGTTTTCATAAAAATAATATTAAGATGTACACCTACATAAGTATCTGTGTTATTAATCATTATCAAATTTATTATTATTATAATATTTTATTACATATTTACGTAGAATATAAATACTTCGAAATAACGTCATAACTCATACGTAACTCGATGTCTCTTGTCGCTAGTTAGTAACTATACTAGCTACATAATATCGCTGTAATATAATGCATAAAAATGGTCGTGTTCGTTAAATTTAATCGTCCTGTGGTACGTACACAATCGATTTTGTGTGTAAAAAAAAAAAAAATATAAAATCAATTAAATTGTTTTTGTTAATTGTTATACCTAGTCATTCCGGTTGACGGCCGTATCGAACAAAAATATATTGTACAGAGTGGTGGTTCAATCGAGATCCATTCAGCATAATATCATCTATTCTACCCGTGTGTTGTATAAATTTATTTTTTAATTTTAAATGTTAGAATTATTTGAACCGTATATTAAAAAAGTGTACACTTAACATATGTACTTAAAAATGAAATGAAAATCGTACAATGTTCGGACAAGATATAGCAATGTTTAAATTTTGTGATAAAAAAAAATAAGTAAACTTCGTCCTGTGCACAACGAAACGACGTATATGTAAAATAATAATAATATTGTGCGTAATATCGTTTCATATAATGAAATCGATTTGCATATTATATATAAATAATATAAACCATGTATGGATATACATCAGTACTACACAACAACATGACCGTTGTTATTTGTTATTTTTACTAAATAATAATATTATTAAAAAAAAAAAAAAACAATAACAAATTAAAATAAATGTGATATACAATCAAATACCTACGCATAAAAAGTCTATTCATTCTGATAATTTAGTAAAACTTTAATTTATAAGTTATTAACTATCTAGTCATATTTATTTTTTTTATCAAATACCTGTCTATAAATATTTAATCAATAAATATTAATTTACATTTGTGATAAAATGCGTACGTGTATTAGAGCTTCTTAATAATTTATTTATTATTTTTTTAATGAAAATTTTACAACACCCACAATGAGTATCATTTTCTAACATTTTTTTACAATTTAATTTTATTGCTGTTTTTAATATTTATTCCGGAATTGAGAAACCTACAAGAAAATACAACTTATTTACTTTGAAATTTGAAAAATTATATTTTTAAAGTGCATAGTGTATATTAAGGTACTACGTACTTTCAAACTTTGCAAAATTTCAGTCTATTAAAAATCTGAATAAAACTATTTGATACTTTCAGCTCAAAAATAATTTTTTAGAAGAAATTATGAAAGATTATATCATAAGAACTTGCTGTTTTGCTCAGTATTTAAAACCTACAAAAAAAAACTACTTCAGCAAGTATTAGACTTCAATCACACAATATAACTAAATCAAAGTAATAGCAATATTACAAATGCTGTCTATCATCAATTTTAGTTATTTTTCGAATCAAATCAGATGTCTAAAAAACGTCAAGTGTTTTTCTTTGCGTATTTTAATGCCAAGAATGTATGTGTCAAAGTTAGTATATACAATAGTAAAGCTGCATAACAATACAATTAATTTGATAGACAGGTTAAGTTTTTTTTACATTAATTACTTTTATTATATTTTTATATACCCGTACGAAAAGTAATAACTATTATTAACTCTTCTTTACATTTTAATCGGTGAATTAATTAAATTTACTTAATTAATTATATTTTTTTTAACCATCAACTCTAGTAATTCTAAAACATATTTAGACGTAGGTACCTATGCAGAATGATCATTTTAAAATGAATCATTCTTTCAACATTTAAATTATTTATGAGTAGATTTTAAATACAAAACGTTGCATAGTTCTCAAAATATTTATAAAATAGTATCTTTAATTATATAGATAACTTTCTATGGTTGGGTAGCATTAACTTACGAATTTCAAAGTTAACAATTATAATTTTGTTACTATTATTAATAATAATAGTAAAATAATAATTTATTGGTATAGTTAATTTGATAGCGAATTAATTTTAAATTTTTATCTTTAAATTATTAAAATTTTAATTAATGTATGTCGAAATAATTGTAAGTTATACTAATGTAATAAAAATCAATATTATAAATTATAATCTGATAGGTTTATTATGAATTCGTCGAATAATAATCATACAAAAAGTATAGTTTACTACTTATTCAGTCCCAACTCGATCAAATTGCTTGTACGTTAAACAGCATTGAAATGTTTTATAAATGATAAAATGTTGGTAATTGTATTTGATAATACTATTGTAATTCTAAAGTCATATATTATTTCCATCATCTTCGATTACACATTTAAGAGCTGGCTTAATTTGTATAGCATTGATACTTTTAATATTATCTGGCAGTTTCTAGCTAAGGCTGTTTCCTATAAAGTCGTTGGTTAATACATCAGTTTTGATTATTATACTGAAATTAATAGTTACATACATAATTATATTGTATATAATACTATAATATTATTATTATATTCATATGCTTTCGTGGCGTTGTTTGAAAACATTATTGGTATGTGTACAAACACTAAAAAAAACCTGCAGCATTTACTATTATTATAATTTTAAAACTTTTATAACACTCTTATTATCAACTCATTAGAAATAGATATTTTTTTTTCTTTTTAGTGGGAGGTCACTTTTCTTTTTCATAGTTTGAACAATATTAGAATACTTACTAATATTATAATGGTACTTGCATTTTAGTACTTAACTTATTATTTATTATCTAAAGTCCGTACTTATCATTTACGAATTATGATTTGTGTCATTTATGTTATTTCAAACGACTTAAAAATAAACATTTACAAATACAAATTACAAATAATTTATTAAAAATTTACCTTGTAATATATTAATTAATTATTTAACTTAAAAGAACTTTTTGTACACTAAACTAAAACAGTTCGACCTATAAAATGTATTTAGGGGGTGGGGGATGATTTTGTGTTCCCATTTCTGGATGTAGTACTGCATTACTGCAATACATATAACATTGTGAATAAAATAAATATAAACTATAAACATAGTTATATTTACATAGTATATAGTATATTATATTATAAAGGTAATTTAATTACGTTTAATTAGTTTAACGGTAATAGAATCTGTCTTTTAATTATTCTTGGATTAATTATCCTCTATTATATAGATTCACAAAATTCTAAGCATAAAGGGCATTTCAAAATTTAGATTAGGACTATATCTATGTATATGTTTTCCTGTAAAACAAGTATTATATTTTGCAGTATAGGTAGTATAATATAGTTTTAAATTATAGTATAATATTTACTTCCCTATTGTTTCATAAATCGTAAAAACATATAAACCACTACAATATATTTAAAATTAAGATATATTACTTAAAATATTTGAATATTTTTATTTCTAATAGTAATATGTAGATCAGTATTTCTCAACCTGGAGGTCGCCAACTTATTAATTAGGGTCACTAACGTATAATTTAAAATTCAAATCAATACAAAAATTTAAAAACTCAAATAATAAAATAAAGTAATGAAAAAATAAATCAATAAATATAAAACACAGTATTGTGTATAGTATTATTAAAGTAATTAATAATAATCTATGCGAGTATATAAAAAAAATATATGTGGAGAGTCGTTAAAAAATTGAAATTCAAAAAGGGGATTGCTACAGTAAACAGGTTGAGAAACTCTGATGTAGATAATATATAATACGAGTAGTTACAATTTGTAAATTATACAATCTAGATAAATTTCGAACACATTCGGCCTAAATATATTTATTAAAATATTACCTCGACACTTTTAGTCTCTGGTCATAGTATATTAAATATTAACAGTGAGTTATGTATCGTGAATTATCTTTTTAAGTTTGTTAGTTAAACTAGCTAGTAGCTAATAATGATGTAAAAATATACAAGCCACAATAATATACCAACATTATTATTCAAGTTTAAAAAAGCCTACAAGATTAATTTACCTAGTGTGTCAAATAAAAAATAATTTTGTAGTTTTACTTAAAAGTTCACTTTTAACTTGTAAGTTATAATAAAATTATGAATTGTAGACGAATTAATACTAAAAATATATTTGGTGTG